AAGGCAAAATCTATATGGTTGATAGGAATTTGCGTCAGGAAAAGTGCACAATCTTTTTCCTAAGCCCATCAAATCAACTTTGAGGTATTCTAATGGTAATATACAATGTGTAGAATACTCAGTATAAATATGATTGAGGCAGTCCTGTGAATTAGGAAGCTATAAGGCAACATCTATATGGTTGATAGGAATTTGCGTCAGGAAAAGTGCACAATCTATTTCCTAAGCCCATCACATTAACTTTGAGGTATTATAATGGTAATATACAATGTGTAGAACACTCAGTATAAATATGATTTAGGCAGTCCTGTAAATTACGAAGTTATATTGCAAAATGTATATGGTTGATAAGAACTCGCATCAGGAAAAGTGCACAATCTTTTTCCTAAGCCCATCACATCAACTTTTATGTATTCTAATGGTAATATACAATGTTTAGAATAATCAGTATGAGAATGATTGCGGCAGTCCAGTGAATTACGAAGTTATATGGCAAAATGTATATTGTTGATAGGAACTCGCATCAGGAAAAGTGCACAATCTTTTTCCTAAGCTCATCACATCAACTTTGAGGTATTCTAATGCTAATATACAATGTATAGAATAATCAGTATGAGTATGATTGCGGCAGTCCAGTGAGTGACGAAGTTATATGGCAAAATCTATATGGTTGATAGGAATTTGCGTCAGGAAAAGTGCACAATCTTTGTCCTAAGCCCATCACATCAACTTTGAGGTATTCTAATGGTAATATACAATGTGTAGAATACTCAGGGTAAATATGATTGCGGCAGTCCAGTGAATTACGAAGCTATAAGGCAAAATCTATATGGTTGATAGGAATTTGCGTCAGGAAAATTGCACAATCTTTTTCCTAAGCCCATCACATCAACTTTGAAGTATTCTAATGGTTATATACAATGTGTAGAATACTCAGGGTAAATATGATTGCGGCAGTCCAGTGAATTACGAAGCTATAAGGCAAAATCTATATGGTTTATAGGAATTTGCGTCAGGAAAAGTTTCGGTTTGTAATAGATGTGGGTTGGTAGGCCTGCGGACGCCACAAACGTGTTTTGCAGGGATGTCGGAAACACAAATCAATGGCAATACGATGCGAATTGATGTTTTTATATTTATATAATGTCAATAATACATTGATAAAACGTGTATACAAGTTAAAACTAATTAATTGACGTATTTTAAAAGGCATATTCGAGACCGTACTGTACATTATACGTATCTAAGGCTTAACATAACGCGAACAATTAAAACTCCGAACATAAAAAGTGCATAATCTTTTTCCCAAGCCCATCACATCAACTTTGAGCTATTCTAATAGTAATACACAATGTGTAGAATACTCAGTATAAATACGATTGAGGCAGTCCAGTGAATTACGAAGTTATATGGCAAAATGTATATGGTTGATAGGAACTCGCATCAGGAAAAGTGCACAATCTTTTTCCTAAGCCCATCACATCAACTTTGATGTATTCTAATGGTAATATACAATGTTTAGAATAATCAGTATGAGTATGATTGCGGCAATCCAATAAATTACGAAGTTATATGGCAAAATGTATATGGTTGATCGAAACTCGCATCAGGAAAAGTGCACAATCTTTTTCCTGAGCCCATCACATCTATTTTGAGGTATTCTTATGGTAATATACAATGTTTAGAATAATCAGTATGAGTATGATTGCGGCAGTCCAGTGAATTACGAAGTTATATGGCAAAATCTATATGGTTGATAAGAATTTGCGTCAGGAAAAGTGCACAATCTTTTTCCTAAGCCCATCACATCAACTTTGAGGTATTATAATGGTAATATACAATGTTTAGAATAATCAGTATGAGTATGATTGCGGCAGTCCAATAAATTACGAAGTTATATGGCAAAATGTATATGGTTGATAGGAATTTGCGTCAGGAAAAGTGCCCAATCTTTTTCCTAAGCCCATCACATCTATTTTGAGGTATTCTTATGGTAATATACAATGTTTAGAATAATCAGTATGAGTATGATTGCGGCAGTCCAGTGAATTACGAAGTTATATGGCAAAATCTATATGGTTGATAAGAATTTGCGTCAGGAAAAGTGCACAATCTTTTTCCTAAGCCCATCACATCAACTTTGAGGTATTCTAATGGTAATATACAATGTTTAGAATAATCAGTATGAGTATGATTGCGGCAGTCCAATAAATTACGAAGTTATATGGCAAAATGTATATGGTTGATAGGAACTCGCATCAGGAAAAGTGCACAATCTTTTTCCTGAGCCCATCACATCAACTTTGAGGTATTCTAATGGTAATATACAATGTGTAGAATACTCAGGGTAAATATGATTGCGGCAGTCCAGTGAATTACGAAGCTATAAGGCAAAATCTATATGGTTGATAGGAATTTGCTTCAGGAAAAGTGCACAATATTTTTCCTAAGCCCATCACATCAATTTTGAGGTATTCTAATGGTAATATACAATGTTTAGAATAATCAGTATGAGTATGATTGCGGCAGTCTAGTGAATTACGAAGTTATATGGCAAAAGATTTTGCCATATATGGTCTATATGGTTGATAGGAATTTGCGTCAGGAAAGGCTCGGTTGATGCATGTATTGCAGCAGTTTTAAAATCATTAAACAAAGAAACAATTATAAAATTAGTTAATGTGGAATCAAATTACTCCTTGTTGAGAGGACATTCAGTAACTGTACTATCACCACTGTGGAGTTATTTTAGAAACTTAAACAAGTACGAAGCCATGCTAATGCCGTATGTAATACCAATTAGTGACCAAAGGAACCATTATTGTTTGATCATAGGCAATTTAAAAAATAAAGTTTGTTATTATTATAATCCTCTACCAGATTGTGGCGATACAAACACAATAGCTCATAGAAAATTTCGCAACTTCTTGTGTTCTCTTCAAAAAACACAATACAGATCAGATGACTTTGAAGTAAATAAGTGGACTTTTACTGAAGCTGTCGGAGTAACGCAACAAGACAGTTATAGCTGTGGTGTGTACGTTATAAATTTTATAGAGCGCTGGCTAAAAAAAGAAAATCTGACTTCTAATTTAGATCCAAGAATTTACAGAAATTATTTAAAAAGGCTGTGCCTACATCAGTCTGAAAATGTTTCCGATTTATGTTTATATTGCGGAAAGGGAGAAACAAAATGCCAAATTTGGGTAATGTGTGACAACTGCAAACGATGGGTTCATTACAAGCCATGTTTGAGACACTTAAACTTAACATTATCGGAAGCACAAAGTGTAGATTACTCATATCAATGTGAGCTTTTCAAATGTTATGAGCGAAAATATAACTGTAATCCATGGAGCGTTTGATCTATCTTTGGTTGATGGTTGAGAGACGTTAAATATTGAATTTTTGATGAATCACTGTGTAACGGACTTGGATCTTTCTGTAGATGAATTCAAATTCGTTATATAAGAACTGTAAGCCTTTGTTTGGTGTTTTATTGAGATACGCATATAACTTCGTAATTTATTGGACTGCCACAATCATACTCATACTGATTATTCTAAACATTGTATATTACCATTAGAATACCTCAAAGTTGATGTGATGGGCTTAGGAAAAAGATTGTGCACTTTTCCTGACGCAAATTCTTATCAACCATATAGATTTTGCCATATAACTTCGTAATTCACTGGACTGCCGCAATCATACTCATACTGATTATTCTAAACATTGTATATTACCATAAGAATACCTCAAAATAGATGTGATGGGCTTAGGAAAAAGATTGTGCACTTTTCCTGACGCAAATTCCTATCAACCATATAGATTTTGCCTTATAGCTTCGTAATTCACTGGACTGCCGCAATCATACTCATACTGATTATTCTATACATTGTATATTAGCATTAGAATACCTCAAAGTTGATGTGATGGGCTTAGGAAAAAGATTGTGCACTTTTCCTGATGCGAGTTCCTATCAACCATATACATTTTGCCATATAACTTCGTAATTCACTGGACTGCCGCAATCATACTCATACTGATTATTCTAAACATTGTATATTACCATTAGAATACCTCAAAATTGATGTAATGGGCTTAGGAAAAAGATTGTGCACTTTTCCTGACGCAAATTCCTATCAACAATATAGATTTTGCCTTATAGCTTCGTAATTCACTGGACTGCCGCAATCATATTTACCCTGAGTATTCTACACATTGTATATTACCATTAGAATACCTCAAAGTTGATGTGATGGGCTCAGGAAAAAGATTGTGCACTTTTCCTGATGCGAGTTCCTATCAACCATATACATTTTGCCATATAACTTCGTAATTTATTGGACTGCCGCAATCATACTCATACTGATTATTCTAAACATTGTATATTATCATTAGAATACCTCAAAATTGATGTGATGGGCTTAGGAAAAAGATTGTGCACTTTTCCTGACGCAAATTCCTATCAACAATATAGATTTTGCCTTATAGCTTCGTAATTCACTGGACTGCCTCAATCATATTTATACTGAGTATTCTACACATTGTGTATTACCATTAGAATAGCTCAAAGTTGATGTGATGGGCTTGGGAAAAAGATTATGCACTTTTTATGTTCGGAGTTTTAATTGTTCGCGTTATGTTAAGCCTTAGATACGTATAATGTACAGTACCGTCTCAAATATGCCTTTTAAAATACGTCAATTAATTAGTTTTAACTTGTTTACACGTTTTATCAATGTATTATTGACATTATATAAATATAAAAACATCATTTCGCATCGTATTGTCATTGATTTGTTTTTCCGACATCCCTGCAAAACACGTTTGTGGCGTCCGCAGGCGTACCAACCCACATCTATTACAAACCGAAAAAGCGCCGATGAAAAGAGCCGCTAACTTCACGATGGTCGGTGGTGGGGGGTTTTTCGATCTGATCCACGATCCTACCGATCCTAGGAGTTGCACTGGCACTGGCCGTCTAGATGCTTATCAGTTTCAGTTAGCAGCAGCAGAAGCGAAACAGACAGAATAGTAACAGTTAACATAATTCTTGCTTCCTTGCTTGTATTTTATTCTCCAATGTAATTAAATACAAGGGACAAGGTCGTTTACAACCAGTTATTAGGTCATGGCTAATCATTTTGCTTAGTACAATATAGTGTCAAGTACATCAAACAGGATAATTTGAATAAGACTTGTTATTTTACTGGGGTAATGTGTGAACATAATAGATTGTCATCGTTGCGCTATATCAGCTTGTGTTACCTCTGCTCATAATTGGAATATAGTCATATAAAACATCAGGTTCTTAAATATCCTTCATTTTAGTTTTTTTTTTTAAAGAGAAGGAGTTAGATTGCAACAATGGATACTCTTAGGTAAGAATAGGTCTGCACATTTTAATTTAGGTCCTACACTCATTCGAATAAAAATATCAATTATTCGATTGTTTCATTCGATATATCGTTTGGTTTGTTAGGTTAGTTTAACCTTGCCTAACTAACCAAACAATATATCGAATGAAACAATCGATTAATCGATATATCGATCAATATTTTCATTCGAATGAGTGTAAGACGTTAAGTGCAGCCAAGAATAGTTAAACTTAGCCTATAGGCCTATTGGGTTTCTTATCATAATCTTAAACCTTCATCTCTTAAGTCATTTTAAAATCTCAAATAGGCCCTAACTTACTGTAGGACGTAACTTAGTCGTTAATGACGGCCATATGGTTTTAGTTGAGTAAGTAGCCTACAATATCTTTGATTTACTGCTTCATAGGCTAGGCCTAAGTTACAACTCATCTTTCAAATCCTACTGACAAACATTCTGAGCCAAACATTAAGTTATTGCTTAATAGTTTAACTGGGACGTGTCGGTACAACTACTTCGTCGAATTTCCACTTCCCCGTCCTCACTCGGGGTGATCCCACCACTGGATTCAACCGGGACGCGATGACACCACTATTCTCTCGTGGTGTCTAATAGTGCACCACACACACATGTGGTTTTGTTATTTATTAACTTATTTAGTATTAAAATAACTTATTGTATTAATAAAAGAAATTAGGCCTATCTAAGTAATTTATAAATATCCATCGGCGCTCCCTTAAAATAATTTAATATGAAGAGGACCGTGACTGAACAAAGTATTCTAGGAAGGTCTACGGAGATTTTAGTAGGCTACCTTACTTATTTCGGTAGCCTAGAACTTAATTCGGATCGATCACAGACGTCACACTATAATATTTTTTCTTCACTTTTAAGTTGTTAAATAAGCTTAATTTTCATGTCCTGAATAAAAAAATGACTGTCATTATTCACGTACCGTAGCCTATAGGCTAAGTTAATTCAATTAAACACGGAAAATTAGAAAAACTGCGTTTGGAACTTTTTGATCAAGACACTTTTTTAAGTTAGGGCCTACGGTTTAAGTTAAGGTCAGCTAACTATTTATCAAATCAAATAATTTTTTTTTTTGTAAAATTGACAATAAGTTACTTACAAATTGCATTAGCTAAGTCATGGTACAAACGTACAGTATAAAAATTATAAAGTTTTCCTTATTCTTATAAAACTATGTAGGCCTACAGTATTGTATTTACAAACTAAGGATAGACAATAATAATTTACAAAGCTCAACTTTCACTATCTATACGTTAGGGTTTACAGCAGTCCAGCTTCTTTCATAATTCAAATTATGTGGAATTTTACGTTGAATGCGATTATGTACTGTAATTATTTTTCCATCCAATAAATATGAAACGTGCTAAGTATCATCAGAAAAGTGGGTAAAATATTAGGTTAGGTTGGGTTTTAAGCATGAGCTTTATTTTTCACAATTCATAGTGTTCTTAGGATGTAGTTTTAAATAAAGAACAGAAATATAATAGATTAATAGTTGTTAAACTTTACTATAAGCTGTGTTTACAGAAAATGGATCAAGGTGAAGCATGATTTAATTAATTATAAACCATATGGCTGTGAACAGATAGTGAGCAAGTTAGTTTCATTCAATTTGCCCTCAAACTAACACGCTCCAACAGGGTTTTCAATCTGGACACTGGTAGGCCTTTCATCAGGAAATCGGCTAGTTGTTCATTCCCAGACACTTGACGTAGCCTACATCAAATGTAGGCCTACCTGCAAGGAATTGCTCACGTACTTAATAGTATCTCAAATGAATGTAGTTTGACCGCTTATGAAATTCTGCAGCATTCCTAGCTAGTCGAACAGCTCCAGCGTTGTCTTTTAAAAAAGAACAGCCTTGATTTCTTGACCATATAGCCTATCTCGCCCAACATAGTTTTCAATCATAAAATTTGCTTAGAAGCTTTACTCGCAGCAACAGACTCTGCTTCTGTGGTCAACAATGTAACACAATGTTGCTTTACTGAAGACCAACTTACAATTTCATTAGCAAACATACACAAATATCCTGTGCGCGACTTTCTTGTCTTGTCATTTCCAAAGTCAGCATCACTGTTGCAACGGAGAATTGGTTCACTTTTAGAATAAGTCAGTGAATAATTCAATGTCCCCTTCAAATACCGGAATATTCACTTGACATCACTCCATGCTTGTTTGTTCAGCTTTTGTGCTACCATATTCACTGCTCAACTTATGTTTGACCTCGTATTTGTTATGTACATCAGACTGCCCACAGCTTCTCAGAAGGGAACTCCTTTACTCAAAGTTTTTGTCTTCCTCCACTGTATCTGCACGCTTTGTGCATAAAGGCGTACCAACTGGATTGCATTCTGACATCCTGTACCTTTCAAGTACACTCTTGATGTAAGACTTCTGTCTCAAAGAAATCCTGCCCTCTGCTCTATGAATCTCCATTCCAAGGTAGGCCTACGTTTCAGGATCGGTAACTTTCAACTTGAAGTCTTGTTCCAATCCAAACTCTTCCACTTTTGTCATCATAACCTTCAGGTTGCCAAGTATAAATATCCTCATCTAACTTTGAATAAAAAATGCAGTTTTCACATCAAACTGTTTTAGGTAAAGATCTTCTTGAACAGCTATATATTCAAAAGACATAGAATGGTATCGCTTTGGGCTACAGAACTGAATATATCATCATAATCCTCTCCATACTTTTGAGCAAATCCTTTTGCTACCTACCTTGCCTTGAAGCGTTCTGGATTTTGTTTTCGTGTTAGAACCCACTTTAAACTTATAATTCTCTTATTCCTTGGAGGTGGAACTAACTTAAACACTTCATTTTCATTTATTGATGCCATTTCATCATTGCAGCTTGCCAGTGCCACCAATCAGGACTGTTAACTGCTTTGTCAAGTAAAACATAGCCTTGAAGATATGATGGTGTATGTCGCTGACGTTGAGGTCGACTGTCGTCTTCATTTATAACTCTTACCACATAATTTTCAACTGACATTACATCATTTTCAGCACATACTGCATCATTTTCAATTCCCACATTTCCATTGTCACTGATTTTTTGTGGAAATTGAATGCACATTTCAACTTAACTTCATTGTGTTGAATTCCCTCATTCCATTGAGAAGACTCACCCGCAGCATTTTCATGGTCTTTGTTTCCTTCGTTCCGTCGAGGAGACGTATGATTCAAGAATAAATAATTTTTAATGATTTTCTTGGAAATTTGCTTGAAAATAACGTCTTTGCTTGCCACAATCTTTGGCACAAAATAGACTTTATGGCCATCTTGTTTGTCACAATATCCCACTAATATACCAGAAACCGATTTAGCAGACCATTTCTTCCTCTTTGGTTTTTCTTCATGGACATAACACTCAGCACCAAATGGGCGAAAATGTTCAACGGGCGCAGGAAACTTTTGAAACCACAATTCGTAAGGAGTTTTACCATCAACAGACGGTCCAGTGCAGTTGATAACATGACAGGCAGTGTTCATGGCCTCAGCCCAAAAACTCAAGGGTATTTTCCTAGCATACAATATGCTACATGCTGCTTCTACTAAGGTTCACATTTATGGTTCAACGGACCCCATTTGTTCAGACGTGTAAGGCATGCTAGTTCTCATAGTGATACCACAATCAGAAAGTAATTTCTTCACTTTGGCATTACAGAATTCCGTCCCGCCATAACTCATGAACGATTTAACGACATGACCTGCTGTCTAACTCTCATTAAGAAATGTTTGTAGATAATCACAAACTTCACTTTTCTCCTTCAAAAAGAAAACTTGTCAAAATTTAGTTTAAGAGAAATATTTTCCATTGGTCCACATAAGTCATCGCTTATAATTTCACCTGGACTTTCAGGTTTCAATGATCTTGTGTGATAAGTTTCTCTGTGATGTTTCCCTTTTACACATGCCTCATAGAAAAAGTCATCCTTTTTCACAGATATGCCCCGATCGCCAAGAAACCTATACACATAAGCCCTTTTTTCATGAGCAAAACACTTGTGCCATTCTTGTAGAGTTTTATTTTTACTACTCACAAGCTGTACAGAAGACTTACTCTGTAAAACTGACATGTCAAGTTAAAATAAACTATTGACATTGTGTCCAAATAAATGTGGTTAATTTTTCTTTATAAAAACACACTTATCCGAACCAAACCCACTAGTCCGAATCTAGGTCTGGTGCACACAGAGTGAAGAAATGTCGAATCTGACATCCGACAACAATGCCCCAGAGAGCAATGTTGTCGGAACGTGTCGGATCGGAAGGTGTCGTGTCGGACTAGTGGGTTACAGTAGGCCTACATTTAAAATCATAAACATTTAAACAAAATTTTACATCCCCGAAAAATTTGGGAATTTAAGGTCTAAAAACACAGTTTTTGTTGTTTTTTGAGCCTCTTTTAGAACTTAAATCTTTGTCTCTCAATTTGATTTTATAGGTCTATTGATTGACTTGATAGGTTATATACTTTGTTGTCTTTTTTGTACCTTAAACCACTATTATTTAACCAATGAGTTTTACCATAGCCAACTCTACTAGAGAAGGCTATGGTTTTACACCAACGAGCACATAATATAAATAGAGGGGCTATACCACACTGCTTAGTGTCGCCAGTTCCGCCATATTGAATTGGTCAAGGGGCTCGAATTGGGTCGCTGCAGTGAACAACTTTTAATTGAACATGCACAGAATACAACACCGTGATTTAAATGCCTTAGAGTTCACATACAATTTTCAAATTTTGCACAGTTGAAGTTTAGGTCCTTCTTCCATGAACAGTAGGCTACTATTTAAATTTTATCTGAAGTATTTATTTTTTAATTAATCAACGATAACTAATGTAATGTTTTTAAAATTATAGATTTTGACATCAAAAAGTTACTCTGTGAGGAAATTTTTTATTTTTTGATCAGGTGAGTTTTAAGTTTTATGAACGTCAAGATCATTAAATGAGGTA